AACTACTGAGGGGTGGGGGCTTTGAGCCTTTACAAAGTTATGAGTCTTATTAATAAAAGTAAAAGCGGTCTCTTTGTGTTCATTGCAGAGAGTTTTTTTTTTTTAAAGGATTTAGCACTTTAAGCATCAGGAGGTTTCTACCTGTTAAAAGGGAGTTTTTTCTCCCCGCTGTCGCCAAGTGCTTGCTCATAGTTTGTTGGATTGTTGGAGTTACTCTTAGTAATGTAGGGTTCTTATCTTACAATACAAAGTGCTTTAAGGAGACTTAGTCCTCATTTTTCTGTTGGTGAAATTCAAATCAGTGTTTTCCATCCCTGCTGAGACAGTAGGAGGTAAGAGAGAGGGAGAAAGAGGCGGTGAAGTGAGGATGACGATGGAAGATGAAGGCCCAGGCGGGCTTGTATTGATTATTAAGCCGTGCGCTTCGGCCCACGTGTTAACGATACAGTAAGAGCCCACACAGGATTTTAGAAAGGAGAGCGAAGAGTGAGGAGCATCAAACACCGATGAGCTCATGTATTAAAACACACGCACACACGCCGGCCAACACATGCGTGAGTTTGTCTCTGTAAAGTAAACCAGAGGACGAACTGCATTTTGTTTTATCTCCCATCCTCTCCTCCTTCCAGCTCTACATCTGGTCTGTTTTAAGAGGGACTTTCTCTTTCTGTCTTATCGTGCTGTACGTGTTCACAAACACACACACACACACAAACACACACGGCCTGCTGACAGCCTCGTAAACTCATGTTCACAGTCAGCTTGCTTTATTCATCCGCTCGCTCTCGAGTTGCAGTGCAAACACAGTCAAAGCTGCCTTCGATAAGTTTGTGCAAAGTTTGCAGAGCGAAACAGGCTCGCAGCCACAGTGCAGATTTCCCATCATGCATCTGGCCATCTCTGTACCATCAGATGAAAGCCTCCACAAACGTGTTAGATATTACAGAACAGTTTTTTTTTTTATTGCGTCATTGGACCGATTTCCAGCCTTTTGTTTTTCACATAATGTGTTTGATTCCACTGCCACGTGTAAAATCAAAACCAAACCCTCTTTATGCTAACTCTGACCGACGTCCTCACATGGTTGTCTCTTTTCAAGTGTCACTCCCTAATCCGTCGTAACTGGTAGGCACACGCAACACAGTCTCACAGCAGAAGTAATAATGACTTTTAATCTGCTGATGTGTGTTCTAGGAAATTAATTTTCCCTTTTTTGTTTCGTGTCTTTGAAGATAATTTTTCATCAGACCAGTCTCATATGTGCACAGCTGAGCCCTTGTAAACAAAATGAATATTTTTCACTTTTAAATGGTGGGAAAACTCAGCTGCAAACTTTTGCAGCTTGTACCAGAGACCACAGTAAAATCATATACATGCCAGATGTTTACACTTCTTTTCTGTTATTCTGCTTGAGCAGGAAAAACTGTATTCTTATTCAAATGACTCTAATTTGGTTTTACAGCTTTTCCTACTGATAAAGTCGTCTTTTTCGTATGTTTAGATATCTCGGTGGTTAAATGTGCAGTTAAACTTCTCACACCCACAGAAAGAGGAGTTTCAGTGGTCTGGTATGTATTTATGTATGTGGCCCACAGTGTAAAATGGGTTTGACGTCCCTGCCATACACAGGACAGAAGATGAATTACACTTCCAGGTCTGAAAAGAGAAGCCAACAAGGGAATCCCTTAAAGCTGCATTCTATTTTAATGACCACCAGGGGGCGATAGCCGTGGCTGTAAAGGTCTTCCTGTCCAGTTCACTATGTTGCCCAAGGACACTTTGACACATGGAGTGAAAAAGCCAGAGATGTCTATTGGTAGGCAACCTGCTCTATAACCTCAGCCACAAGTGCTACAACACCAACATGCTTGGTATGTGTCGTATGTGGGGTTGGGGGACCCAGGGATCGAGGCACAGACCTTCCAATTGGTAAACGACCCACTCTACCACATGAGCCACCCCAAAGAAACCAATGGGAAAACGGCCACTCAATTTGTGTTACACTGAATCGTCCATTTTGTTATTTTAATGACAAATTCTTAATTACCAACAACAGAAAGCACATACTCCAAAATACACGTTGGAGGTTATGAACTGATATGCATCTTTCTTTAGGTTCTTCTTATTTGGTCTTTTACCGATGCCATCCACATGTCTATCTTATAAGGGCCAGATACCAAGTGTCATGACATTTGGGCCACATCTGGCCCACCCAGGCATCTGCCATACCTCATGTCAAGCCTGGTTCGTTGATTCTTAAACCACATCTGGACCACAAGACATCTGCCAGAGTCATAACCAATCCACAACTGCCAGAATAGGTCCAAATGTGTCTGCTACACAAACTAAACACATGACACTCAAAGTTAGAAGAAAGGATGCTTCAAAACATGCCCAACGCCAGTGGATGATCATATTGACAGCACCCTTGGTAAGATGTCACTCAGTACATTTGATCAACTACTTTAGTAAAGTACCCTTATGATACATCTACTTTTTTGTGTTCTACTGCTACTGGGCTATATTTTAGATGCAAATACTGAAGGTTTAACTCCTTATCTTTTATTTTAAAGCTTAAATTAGTTACAATGTGGTGAATTTAAAACAAATCTACTAATATATAGTGTTGTTGTATAATTCAAGATAAGTGTAGTCTGCAACCTCAAGTGCTTAAAAAGAAAGCTGCTGCACTTAATTTGTAAAGATGCTCTCATCCGAGAGGCTTCATTAGCAAATCCACTGACTTCCTCTCACAGACCAAAGACACACAAGTTAGTGGGGATAGGTTAATTGGAAACTCTAAACTGCCTATAGGTGTGAATGGTTTTCTGTGTCTATATTTTAGACTGGTGACCTGTCCAGGGTGTACCATGCCTCTTGCCCTAAGACAGCTGGTATGGGCTCCTGCGACTCTGAAAAGGATAAGCGGAAGAGAATGGATGAATGGAGAATGGCACATCAGCTGTATGTGCAGTACACAGCAGTGAGTGTGCTAAGTGGGAAATGTAGCCATCATAGTTAGAGGTAGACCAGGGTTATATAGCTCCGGCCTGAGGGTACAAGTGTGGATGGTGCATGAGATCTTCAAAAAACCAAAGAAGTCCAGCTGTCTTCTTTCTAGGCACCCAGATACCTACACAGAGATACATTGAGTGTAACAATAAGTACTCTGAGAGCACAAACCTCTGCCAAGGCAGCTCACTCTGTGGGCCACATTTACTTTTAAGGGAACTCTATTGTATTTTGTATATATATCCATGAATGTACTTTAAGTTTGCAGCCTGCACTTTGCACTTGTAAAAAACAACTTTGTGTTATTTACCTTTAATATACCTGACATAATTATCAGTATGATAATTTATTATTACCTTTTTCTCTCTCTTAGCAATATTTTCCTTCAAGATGTGACATATTTTAGAGGTCAACCTGAAAGAAGGGTACATGTGAAACCCAAAGGTGAGGTCAGAGGTCAAACGTGACATGATGTTTTACATCTTTACATGGTACTTTCTATAATTTGGACAACACACGCCACACTATCATACTGCAAGGCCTTGAAGTTGACCTTGAAGACCTTTTAATGTTAGATGACGTCATTCTACACCCCTGCAAAGATTTATCAGAATTCATTCAAAACTTTCTGAACTACTGTGTTTGACGCGATGACCATGTAAGCACGTGGTCAAAAGCACTGAATCCCCTTACTCATTTTACACTCACTTTACTTTTCCTTTAGCAAAGTCTTTAATTCTAACCCTCATTTCAGCACTTTGCAAAACACATATTAATACAAACTGATGTTTAAACTTCAAGCAGCACATCTGTATTTGTGCCCAGGGCTGCAGGTGAGCCTGAAACATGTGCCTGCAACAGATTCCCAGAACATCTTGGTTTCTCTGATAACTAAACACCAAATAACTAAATCTTCTGCTCATCTCTCACTTATAAAATCCACAATCTAGAGTAACCTGTTAATGAGACTCCAGCTTTCACACCTGATGACGCACATGATTAATAGTGGGTCAACGACCACCTCCTGAGGGGAAACCCCCACTAGGGTTTAGATACTTGAGCCTCTCCGCTTTTTGGTTTTAGAACTGAAGAAACATCTTCAACAAACTTATATATGTCGCTTTTTCCAAGCTCTTAGGATCAGAGCAGACACGGTTTCCCCTCCCCGCGAAACAGTTACACGCCTCTGCTCACACATCGTTCACGCAGGCAGAGGAGCCGGCAGCTGAGGTTAAACTGTGTTTACAGATAAACAAGAGGGAAGACCACAGCGACAAAACTCTAAAACACTCATGACATCCACGCATTTTCACCCACTTCACATTCCACTCTCCACACCCACAACGTGCTGCTTTCAGGGGCATCTGGTAAACGTGCACACCCCTGAGCCAAAGTCGCATGCCGTCCCGAACAGCTACGAAGCCTCGGTCACTGCCGAGCGGACATGAACTCCACCTCCTCAACCGTCACGTGTCAGCAAATTAAATCAAACATGTAGTTTAATCTCCCCAAAGTGACCTGCGGTGTTTCCCGCAGTAACTGAAGGCAGAGCGCTCTGCTGACAGCTGACAATAACAAACCTCACACTCGCTCACGCGCACGTGCAGGGCTGGCCCTCTGTCACTGTGGACACTGTCACAGTGAAACCCCAGAGCGCGCGCTGACTCCACAAAACTTTCACCCAACTCATGTCACCACACACAAGACTAAAAACAAACCAACAAACAGCTGCGCTCTTCTGCAGGAGTGAGCGCAGGTGTGAGCTCCGTCAGCTGAACTTAAGCGTCTTATTTTTTCTTTTTTTTTAATTTCTCTTACTTCTCGGTGGAGGTTTGCTGAACAGCTCTGCGACGTGCCTCTGCAGTCGGACCACTCTGCCCTCCAGCGCGCAGGACCGGTGGCAGATGGACACAAGGTCTCCCTCCAGCTCCTCCAGGATGCTCACCGAGTGCCGGGACAAATCCGAGAGCTGTCGGAGCACCGAGCACAGGGTGAAGCTGCACACGTCCGCCAAGTCCCCGAAAATCTCCCCTTGCTCCTGCTGCTGCTGGTGCTGCAGCCTCTTGCCGTCGGGCTTGCACACATCTTTCGGAAATATCGTGCGTTTACAAAAAGGCATGATTTCTCTCTCCCGCCTCCTCTGATTCCAAAAATATCAAACTCCTCAGACAGTCAAGTTATATCCCCGTGGACCTTCTCCCTCCGGGTGGCGCACAGCCACACGCCACGGATCCTCCGGGAGGTAAAAGTGCGCTGCTGGTTGAGCGGCTCGGAGCGAGTTGCGCGTCGTGCGCCCTCATTGTTTTTGACTGCAAGCGAAATTTTTTTTTCTATTTTTTTCAGTGGAGAGGAGAGAGTCGGCTGCTGCGAGGACTGTAGTCAAGATCGGAAGAGTGTGACAGACGAGGTTTCCTGTTAAAGCTTCAAAATTAAAGCCCGAATTAACTGCGTTTCTTATCGGGGAATCGCACAACTAAAACCCCTGAACCGACTAGTTTTATGCAGATTCAGCTTCACGTATAGAAACATGGTTCTGTTTTATGAGACCTTTTTGCGCTGTTATCGCCACTTTGATAGCATTTCATTTACTCTTTACACCCTTTTAATATTTTCAAACATGCTTTTATTGTGAAAAGATTCACCCCGCATCAGATCTTTTTATGTCGGGCTTGACGCAGCGACACAGTGCGCAACAGTCTGGTGTTTCCCTTGGAGGAAACCTGTCTGAAGGAGGGAGAGATGAAGAGAGGAGGAGTAGGAGAAGATGGAGGAGGACAGAGATGGGGATGGATCAGCTCCTTCATGCAGCATCACCGCAACCACCACCACAACCGCGCGTGACTGCCTTGTCTGTGCCCACGCGTGCATGTGCAAAATCGAAATGATCGAAGCGAGTGGGAGCTCGTGTGCGAAAACTTTTGCGTTCTTCCTTTCCTCACTTTATGGGTGGGGGAGCTTGCGTGGAGAGGTGTTAAGCTCAGCCACATGCAGCACCTTGCAGACTGTGAGCCAGAACACATCCACGGTAGTCTTCACTGACTGCAGCCAAGTTTTTAACATGTGGAGCGGAGGTGCCAAACATGAGGCCCGGGGGGACCAGAATTGGCCTGGCAAAGACTCCAATCCGGCCCACTGAAAGGCTTTTGAAAACGTGAAGGAGAGCGTAGATTTTAAACTTTAAACTGTATTATCATAAGTTTTAAGCTTTTCCTGCTGATATAAAAAAAAAAAATAAAGAAGATAAACCATTAAATAACAGAGAAGTTTTAGGTGAATTAACCAAAACATTGTGTTTCATAAAAAACAGGAGAGAGTCTGGGCAGTGAGCTACTAGAACTGTTTCTGTAACTCTACATATTTATTGTGTAGAAAAACTGAGACAAACTGCTTAAAATGCACTTTTTCTCTTATATTAAGATATCCCAGGAATTAAATGTTTGGTTAAAAGTCTGTAAGCAGACTGAGAGGGGAGTTCCAGTGGTAGGAGGCGCTGACTTTGTTTACCTATTAAAATGGCAGTTGAGTGTAGGCATGAAATGTTTTTGGATTGTCCAGTAGCAGTTTGACATCAATTGGCCCAAAAATGAAAATCAAAATAAGAAGCAAGATTTCCAAAACAGAGCCAAACGTGTCAGCGGAGGCTGTGCGGAGTGAAAAACTAGGTCGTTTTAAAGAACTGGGTCTCAAAATGAGGAGGATACGAAAAACTGAGGAACAGAAATTCCCAAGTCAGACCGTCTCACACCCCCCACATCCCCAAATCTTTCTTCTCCATAAGCTGAATACATGTGCAGACCTCCGCTCCAAACCCAGATTTCCAGATGGGGACACAGCAGTGCTCAAACACATTACACATGCCTAACGTAATTTTATCTGAGCCTGCAGGTCGTTACAGTGACAGCTCAGATCACGAGTCCTTTGTTTCAGTCGTCTAGCTCCACAGATGTGAGGACTGATTTTTTAGAGTACCTGGTTTGACACAAACAGTTCTTTCTGCGAGGGTCCATTTGTGCCAAAACTATGTTCGTGTGTCAGGATTTTTGGCCGAACTTTAAGAGTTTTTAAATCCACTGAAGGTTTTTAATTTTGGAGGCAGGCTGCTTCAGAGAGAGAATCGACTGTATATTTTACAGTCTACAATTCACACTTACCACCATGTCGACTGCTGTAGCATTAAAATCATTTTAACTGACTAGCTCTGATTTGGTGACAAATTGCTAGGAAAAGGCTGCCCAACTTGGAGGAGTTTAGGTGTCTTGTGGTCTTATTGATGAGTGAGGAGAGAGGGCAGCGGGGGACTGACAGCCGCTCCTGCAGTGATGTGGATGCTGAACTGGACCAGCGTGGTGAAGAGAGAGCTGAGTGGAGCTGTGGATTTACCATTTGATCTTTGGCCCTACCCTCACCTTTGGTCACAAGCACTGGGTAGATGGACGGATGGGAAGAGATAAAAGCATGAATAATCATCAACTTCAGCCTTTGACACCAGCCTTCTGAGTTTTTAAATACTCCCATAATGATAAAACTGTTCTGAACCAGCTGTTTGCAGTGATGATCAAACTGTCAAAAACGACACCCAAGTTTCTGAAATCACACATTCAGGGGCAAAAAACAAAATGTGTTCAGTCAAAACTGAAGTGCAGTTCAAAGTCGAAAAGAAAGTCAGTCGACACAGAGTGTAACTATGGAAACATAATTTTGGCACAAATGGACCTCCATACTAAACTCCATCTGATGCCCGCTGGAGGAGGATGGAGGAGAAAGCTCAGAAGCTCAGATATTTTCACAGATTTTTCTTTCTGCAGTTCTTTGACATTAATATGAGTCGGTGTAAGCGCCGCCCTGTTACCCGTCTAACAAAAACAAGATAAATTCAAATAACCGAGCTGCTGCTGCTGCAGCGCCGTGTGATTAAAAAGTTAAAGATAATTCAACACAGAAACGATGTAGGTGTGTTGGGTTTCTTCTAACGCGTAGCCCGAGGCCTCATATAGCAAACACAAATATCAGTGGGTGTATTATTTTAACCCCAGTGGGATCTTAATATTACACCTGCACATCGCCATTTTAACATCAGCAAACAGAACTAAATATACTCCACTTAGGTGGGTGAGTACACCGCCCTGAAATTCCCTAGGAGATTTATATATATATATTTGGAGATTTAGAGAAATCTCTGTGACACCCTCAGAGTCTATCAACAGTCCAGCATATCCACGTCACAATCAGACGTGTACTATTAAAAGGTTTTTTATAATTAGTGCACATTGGATCCATTCTTTACAGAAGGCAAATTAAAAAGTACACAGGGGTGTACTTTTTAATTTGCCTTTTGTTTTCCAGCATTTCCGAGCCCTTATACCCCCTTAAGTTCACGTGAAATTCTCAGGGCTGAAAAAGAAGCTCTGTAACCGCAACCAAATTCATTTTACACCCACTCCGAGCGCCGCGCTCTGAAGACAAAATCTGATTTCTGTTCAGTATGATTTTCCTGTAACCCACTTTTGAGCATCAGTATCATGGGATGCATCATAGTTTCAGCAGCAGTTTAATAGTCATGATGTAGAAACAAGGTCTAGAAACAAGCATCAGTTCCCTGCATGTTTGTTCTGTTTTCTGATCATTTACTGGAGAAATATAAAAAACAAACGAGGGGGGAAAAAAAGCATTTTGCAAGTTTTGAGGATTTCACAGCAGCACACAGCGGGGCTTCCTTTTAACTTTAACTTCAGGCATATCAGTCTGTCCGCTTAGGAAGCAGAAACCACTGCGAGTGAGTCCATTTCAGCTGGTTTGGTGAAAATGAAAGCAAGAGCAAGTTCTGCTTTGCACTCTTGCCTCACAGTAAGAAGGGTCGGGGTTTAAACGTGTGTGTTCTTCACACACTCTCACCGGGTAGTCTGACTTCCTGCCAAAGACATGCATTTGGGTGAAATGGTGATTCTAAATTGCACATAGCTATGAACGGTTTTTATTATTTTGTATTAGCTTTTTCAACAGTCTAGGGTGTCGCCTTATGGCAGCTGGGATATGCTCCAGCTCCTTTATGACCCTGAATTGGATAAAAGGAAGAAAATGGATGGGTTGGAAATGAGAGGCAACAACAGAGCATCGCTCTCTCTGATCTCAGGTTGCACGAGTAGTCCTATTTCTCCAGGATGGCACATCCCTTCATAAGTACTGGTATGAGAAAGTTAGCTGCGTCTCGAGAGTGTGGAGGAGATACCAGGAGACAGGCTGTTAGTGGAGGAGAGCATAGAAGGGTTCTAAGTATCAGCCTCCTTGAGTGAGCCTTGAAAAGCCATACAAAATGACCTCCAGCTGACTTCCCCTCACACTGTCATGGGTGTGAGCCTCTCCTCGGGGCTAGATGGACACTTTCCACTGCAGGGTGACACTTTTAGCAGGTGTAGCTCAGTGGAAACAAAACACGTCGCCCACAAAACTGTTCATGAGGAGGTTTGTAGTGACCGAATCATGATTTTTGGAACAAGACAGCTGCATTATGTTCAAGAGAAGGCAAACATCTCTGCAGCTCAGATCTCCAAAACATGACAGTGTAGATAGTGTTAAAAGCCAGAAGACTTTTATTCATTTGCGTGATCTGATGCTTCAGCTATGGCCCCGTTTTCACCAGTTTCCCACGAGTGTGACCCGAGGTCAGAACTTCCACATAGGAAAAGGAGTAGGATACTCATCAGATGGCATTACATAACACAGGCATGAGATCCTGATCTGAAAGAGGGGGGCGCGTCTTTTCCTGCCCGTTTTCATTGCCTCTGAACACAACCCGAGCGCGAGCCAAGCCTCTCTGGTCAGCCAACATCATCATCTTCACAAAGCGGATTCCTCTACCCCGCCGCAGAGTGACAAGAGGAGTGCAGAGAGAAGAAAAAAACAAACGAAAGTGGTCAGAGTATCCCTTTAAGAAATCGCATCTTTGCAGGAGCCTCTCAGGCACATGACGTGGCCCCCCTGGCCTCTGAGGGAGAAGGGCGGAGGGGACTTTCTGCTCCATCTCTGCCTCTCTGGAGCCGTTTTCTTTTTCTTCTTCTTCTTCTTCTTCCTTTTTGCTTCGCAGTTGTTTTCCCCCAGCCAGCTGCTCGCATCCTCCGCCGT